TGTACGACCTGTAACTAGTATGTTTTCCTCAAACCTTTACATTCCCATGTCTTATTTGCTGAGAGCTGGGAAATTCAATATTTGCTCCATGGTCTCAGGCCTATCAGGTCACAGAGCCAGGCGCCGACTTTCTGCCGTTTTGCTGCCAAGTTTTCAGCCTGTAGTTTCTGGCTTTTACTGCCAGGAAAAGTTGTCACCCTGATCTCACCAGGCTGTGTTTAAAGACCAGTCCAAAGAGCAAGACAGTTTTACTTCCCCTGGAGGTTTGTCCATGTTCAGCTTCAGAAAACATATCTCTGCCACTTTGATTTTTGAGGGCTGTCTAGCTTTCCTTGTGTGATTGTGCGTTTGGGGTGTGTATACGTGTATATAGATTCTGCTTCTACCCCCATTATTACTGAGATTTGCTGCAGAAATGATATAGAGAGAGACAGAGCGAATATAAAGATATATTTAGAATGAGGGAGATGACCACTGTCGCTTTGCTCAGTCTGATCTCATCCTCCATTGGGCGAATGACCCAGATGCCTGTTGCTTAATGTGCAGTGTAATTAACTCTAAAATGAGGAGTATTTTGAGATGTCCTTTAATAAAAATACTCTTTAGAACTAATTTGGATATTACTATTTTGACTTTCCTTTTTTTTTTTTTTTTTGGTTTCCATTGACAGACTTTTTTTAAGTTTATTTTTTCCATCACTGCTTATATCACTGGCAAACTGTGGCTAAAGGAGTATGATTTTGAATTGAATTCCTCTGCGATTTTAGTGAGTATGAATGCTCAAGAGGGTTATGGGTTAAAGGAAAGGTAAAATATGTTGAAGTACCTGCAACAGCAGAAGATGAAATGTTGCACAAGTTCTTAGACCCCCAAACTGCTTTATTATGGGGGCAGCGTTTGCAGCTTTGTTAATGTCTGTGTTTTAGCTGTACACCAGGCATTAATTTCCATGGAATTTTGGGGATGGCTTATAGATTACATATAAACCACAGTTGGGGAGAAGTTGGAGAGTATAGAAAAAATCCTCACTTTTTTTTTTTTTTTAACACGTGATAATCTTCAAATGGAACAGCCATTAAAAATGTTCTCCTCTGACAGTAAAAATGTTAAAAATATTGTCAAATAACATTGCCTTTAAAAAATACCATATTCTACGGTATAATGACTGGACAGTATGAAGAATTAGATACCACCCAAGCCTAATCTTAACCCAGCTGACTCTCGTGGTCTTTGCGATGTAAAATTGAAAATATATTTCATATCACCAAGCCCTACTTTGTATGGGCAGTCCCCATATGAAGTCACCAGGTCTGAAGATGGCGTTGCACGGTCATATAAAGACCAATGAGTATAAGACCATTTTATAGTATAGACCACATGCACCCTGTGCTAGTCCCTCGGGATATTCCATATTACGGTATAGACCACATGCACCCTGTGCTAGTCCCTCGGGATATTCCATATTACG